CTGCACAGCTCTGGTTTGAATTGTTTTACACACTTTTATCTGATGCCTCTCTTTACTTTTATCTTGTGTTGTTGTCACTGTGTAAATTCTCTTTTTAAATAAAGGTTTTATTTTAATGTTAGAGAATTTAGAAAAATCTGTAAATTAAAGATGGTAATAGTTCAAACCGAGCCATTTGAGCCGAGTAGTCCCGCTGGAGAGATTATATCTGGGCTAGGAGCACTTCGGTGTCCCCCGGGTGGGCTGGAGGAGGTGGCCGGGGAGAGGGAGGTCATGCCGCGACCCGAACCCAGATAAGGGATAGGTAGATATTATAATGACACAACTGAAGCTGCAGTTTCTCAAACGCCCACCGGGGGCTCCCATGGTGAAACAGTGAAACGATTCTCTGCTCAGAGCTGAGCGAGCACTAAAGAAAGAGCAGGATCCAGATGTGTCCATGCTATAGATGCCCTCTGCTGTTAGGACTCAAACGCAGAAACACAAAGATGCTCCTCTGATTGTGTGTGTGCACCTGAAACAGGCTTTAAAGGCCGGCTTTGGACTTTTACTGCAAAAATGAATTAAATATATCGACCAATAGCCGCCTGTGTCCCCAGTATTGATAAACGAGTTCATAAGCACCATCTGCCCATCCAGGACTGTCAGCTGTGAACCCTCAGCCTCACTTTTAAGTGTACAGAATAATTGCAGCGACACAGGTAAGCCACATGTCGGGCTCATTAGTGAACACAGGGGAGTCTAGCAGCAACGTGAACTGCTTTCCACGCGCGCGTGTGTGTGTGTGTGTGTGTGTGTGTGTGTGTGTGTGTTAAATACAAACAGCAACCAAATCATGGTCATTAAACACCTGATAAGGACAGTATTATTGGCAGTTACCACATTTTACATCACAAAAAGTTTGAAGTGTTTGTGAGTGTTTGTCCACGTCAAAGCCTGCGTTGCTCACGTATGTACGAGGGGTCTTTGGCATGTGTGATGTCACCAGTGAGCGTGATCGAACACGCTCATCTTGCCACGTGCCAGCGCGCTGTGAGGATGTGATCTCGACACTCACGGCGGAGGCACCTCTGACAGTAACCTGCATACGACCAGGAGGGCGTGCCTGCTCTGGACTGGCTCCTCCCACCTGGCAAACGTCTGCCACGACGTCTCGACAATTAGAAAGTCTGATGCAAATCTCAGTGTTGTTCAGACCAGCGGATCCCAGTTCTGGTGTGCTGCGATCATTTGTGCAGCAGAGGCGACCACCTGAGAGGGGAAACCTGCTTCAGCTTCACCTGTCAGCAGCGCCGCCATCGTGTGTCAGGAGAAGCTGGGCGGCGGTAACGCGGCGCCAAGCGAGCTAAAGAGGCACTTGGAAAGCCATCGTCTCTTCTGAGAGAAACTTGGCTCGTGGAAAGGACCAGAGCAGCGGCGCCGCTCGCTGGCACGTGTCTAATAAGGTGACTGCAGCTCACGCAGGGAACAACGCAACGTCCAGACATCACAAATGTCCAAACGTCCTACGATGAGAAGAGCCGACGGGCCTGAAACTACACGCAGCTCTGTGACAGGCGCGAACACAGGGCGGGGCTAGAGTTCAGTCGTCACGCCGCTCCTGGACTTCAGGTGACGTCACGAGGCTCCTTCGCTGACAGCCGGCTGTTTCAGAGCGCGGCGAGCTGAACCTCTGAGTTTCTGCAGCGAACACAAACAAACCGCAGCACTTCTGAGGAGAAGCGCGACGTGAGAGCGCTCAGAAAGCGGGAGTCACGGCTCTAATTGAGAACACACAGCACTCTCCTCTCCGCTTTCACTTCCATCCACTAACCGCCGGCTTCTGTAGCACACTTCTCCCGCAGTAAGAGGTGCTCAGCTCTGAGCTCTGCCATTTTCTTTCCTCAAAGCCTAAACGTGCTCATCCAAGTCCTGCACTTTCATCAACACCTCCTCCTCTTCAGGTTGTCAGTCTCAGCTTCTCAGGTCCACATGTCTTATATTAGAGGAGGTGGGCGGGCTGAGGTAATGTAAGTAATACGATGTGAGGAGCGTTGTTCGCAAGCAGCCGCAGCATGTACAGCACTGTTTGAATAATGTAATACTTCATGTTTGATAATGCATGGCTATAGATAGGTCTGCACTGCAGCCAAGTATTGATTGTGTTAAGCACATCTACAGCACAGCAAACGGTGCGGGTTCATGTCAATCTTTACACGGCGTACTGTACCTCAGTAACCAGATCCCTCGGCTGATTGCAGAGACCTCGGCCCGCTGCTGCTCTTAATGACATTTATTGATAAATCAGGAGGCGTGGCTTATGCACGCAGCCGTCTACGTTTCTATCGTGTCAGAGCACGCGGAAACCTTTCCCCTCCTCCGGGCATGCTAATGAAGCGGCGGCCACTGCAGACGTGCGACGCGTGCGATGCGTGCCCCGCGACAGCTCACGCGCATTCAGGGCAGAATTTCGATATTAATGATTTATGCTGTATTTGCATACAAACCTAATGCAAACCCACTCCAGATAATCACATTTTGCCAGGTCTGAATTGAGTTTTTCGGACGTCTTTGCCACCCCCGCCTTCACCCTCAACAGTGGAACAGCGGCTTCCAGCCACAGTTCCCCCCCCCCAAAAAAAGACATGAGGGTTTTACAAGTGGACATATAACACAACTGTGCATTTCACCCAGAAACAAGCGTGTCTGTTTTGTCTCCTCCACTTGCACAACAACAGCAC